CCGGATAGATCAGCCGCCCTGAGCTCAGATGTCCTTGCTGCCGCACAAATGCTCTACCAGAATGGACATGATAACCTCTCTGCCCTCCATAACCAACTCTACGCTGAGCATGACCTGCTGAATCACAACAGTAATACCAACTATCATACCAACAGCAATATACACCTCCAGCAACAACAGCAGCAGCAGCAGCAACAGCAACAGCAACAGCCACTGCCACAGCAACAACAGCAGCATCATCACAGCCATCAGATGGATGCTAAGCGTGCGCAGCTGGGTCAGTATAACGACGGGTCTGTGCCGCAAAAGGAGTTCCTTGTCATTCCAAAGGGGATACATACCAGTACCATGATTTTCGACCCCGCTGCACACAGCTCACCGGCAAAAGACCACCAGCAACCAAGAATGCGAGCCAACGCCTCGAAGCTGGGCCCTAGTATGCTACAATGGGGATCAGACTCCGGATTTGCTCATCAAGGCTATCGTCTGCCTCCAGGTCAACCCACAGTCGAGGAAACGACAGAAAACCTCCTCCATAACCTAGAGTGTCTAGAAGCCCAGTCCAGCGCGGCCAACACTCGGCCCTCCAGTCCCGTTCGAAAACTTTGTGATAGAAAGGAGGCTGCATCGTCCCTGGCGGCATCACGGAATCCAGTTCCACCATCCTTCGAAGACAGACCAAAGAAGCGACGGAAGAGCAACAACAAGATAAAAGAAGAAGACTCAGAACTAGCCAGCGCCTTGTCAGCATCCAAGTCACCAACTACCACTACTCCTACATCATCCACAACAAACTACACTGTTTCGTCATCCACCACAACCACTTCGTTTGCTCGTCCATCATCTCGCAAGTCAAAAGGCTCCTCACCTGCCGGAAACGGCACCACCATCAAACCTGTACGAGAAAACCTGTCCGAAGAACAGAAACGTACAAACCACATCCTCTCCGAGCAGAAACGCCGAAACCTGATTAAACAAGGGTTTGACGACCTGTGCTCGCTGGTCCCCGAGCTAAGGGGGGGAGGGTACAGCAAAAGCACCATGCTGACGCAAGCAGGCGACTGGCTGGCCGACCTCCTGGCTGGCAACGAGCTTCTCAAGGCACAGTTGGCGGACCTAAAGGCGAGAGGAGGATAACAGATGGGTGCACATAAGCCATGCATATTGACTGACATACATATCATACCGCCTATATATCGTTTAATTTCCCTTATGTTCTCTGTTGGACGGACGGATCTTATTTGTTTAACATGGCCTTGTTGTTTGGCGCGTTTACTATATACCACCCCCATGTCTTGCTTCTGTCTGTATAACCTCGCTTTCTATCTACCTGATGATACTCATGTCTTCTCTTTTCTCTCTTTCTCTCGTTTTCCGCCTATATACTGCCATCTACGGAGTACTTACTCCCATGATGTAACGAGGCATTCATACGGCATCAGCACGGCATCCCGCACTCGCATAATTACATACAATCTACCTACATACCTACATACCTACATAAACAATACAGAACTCTTGTTCCATAGCCAGTTTCCTCCATAGTGTTCACGGTGACATTCTACTGTTCTATGATGGGCTACGGCCTCCCCGATAATCTCCAGCGCCATGCAAACGCCCATCTTGCATCCACCGTCCACCGTCCTCCACAGCCCACCTATAACACTTCCCATCCACATATAACAGAAGGCACACCAACCACAGCAAGCAGTTCACTTCTCAACTGAGCTGTTATAACTCCCCCATGCGGAGAGTGTTCGGGGAATTTGCCCAAATGCGACAAACCTCCCGACAGATCAGACCCAATTTTTTTGCTTCTTCCCACCAAATTTACTCCTGTGGATGTACCGCGGTTCGCTGAACAGTTTCTTACTGGCGCAGAAGCTGGAAGGTTGGCGGACGAAGGGAAGCCAAAGCAACAAGAGATTTTGAATGATGGTCTGTGAGCTCTCCGTTTCACCTTTTCGGCATCTCTAGCTGGCTTGTTTCATGGCTTTTTTTAAAAAGATGGTTTCCTAACTTCGGCCAGCTTGAGTTATACTTCCGCTCGAGTTCCGTCTGGCTTTGGCTCTGGTTCATGGCCCTCTTTTGGAGGAGTTCGTTTTCGGTTCGAGAATGGGTTCCTGGAGCTAACGCTGTTAGCTTTTTGCTCCTTTTTGCTCTGTTACTGGCTGGCGGGCTGGTGGCGGGCTGGTGGGCGATATCGGATCGCAGTTATATGCCTGTCCAGCTGGGCTCTCTGGTGGAACAATCGTCCCGGATGCATACGTATGTCCGTGGCCAAAACGAGCCTCGACACTTTGACGGTGTTTGGACTCCGTACCGGGCAGTTAGTTATGGAGATTATTGTTTGTCTCCTTGATCGACGGCCTCTCATCCTCTTTCTCGTTTCTGCCTCCGTCTGACTATGACGGCAGCCATCGCCACTGGATGTTTTGCAAAGGCACATTCCCACTCAGAGCAAACTTATTACTATACTTAGCTGAGTTAAGCCTCTCCGCGTTCATGAACAACCAAGCCGACTTCCAGGAAATATATGGGGAGGTGTCGTTTCCATCGGTTGAATCATACCCTCATTTGGCTTCCATCCCAATATCCTTTGATTGGTCCGTTCAAACTCGCCAACCTACAGATTAACCGCACATATAATTTAACCCCATATCCAAGATACAGCTACTCCGTAGGTAGCTGCGCTATCTACCCCCCAATTTCAAGGTCTCCACCTTAGGTCTCTGTCTGGCCAAATCATAGCTCAAGTTATATACCCGAGATACGGTTCCGTAGCTCCCACAAATGCCAAGTCTGGAGAAACAAAGGGTCCTTATGCTGGCTGTTGCTTGGGGGTGGCAAGTGAAACAAAACGGTGGGCCATGCAGCGGCCGTGGGGTTGATTGTACAATTTCCACGGTACAGAACGCATGGCTATAGATGTGAATTGCATGGCTCGGGACGATCTTCCCGATCACGCGAATGTTATCAAGCTGAGATTTTGAGCATTCTTTGGTAACCAGTTACGTCAGGTCAGGCGTCTGCACCATATATTGAAAGTATACCCCGCCTGACTTGGGTACCTTGGTTGGATGACTTCTTTAGAGCAAACCCCGTTATACAACGCTAGACAGAAAGCTGCTTGATCATCATCACTGGATCCTCTTAAAAATACTAACTCGTAATAGCAATGAATTCCTTGAAGTTCAGGAGAGGCTAGAAATTAAGAGTCAGTTATTCTGGACTCATGCCACGCATATCAGTACCCCGCCTTGAAGCAGGACCCTTGGGGGGGCGGCCATTGAAAATTGGGTGGTCTTCGAAAGGGATGCCGGGTTATCCAGCCGTGTTTCTAGAATCTAGACTGGTCGTACTGCTGGTACGAAAAAAACTCCCTGTCACCAGGGGTCAATTGAGATTGATACGATTGATAAGATTAGATTTAATCCCTCACTTTTAAGCCTCATTGTATTACATGAATTGTCCTTCAAAGTTGGACATGAAGAAAAACACCTGTTGTTTACTGCAGATTGAGTGAGTTACTACACTCAATGGATATACTTGATTCACATTGAGTGCGATCCCGATATTTGAGCTCTATTGGTAAGATGGTTATGTGAATCATGATCTATGTTGAAGCAAAAATAACAATTTGACAGTTTAACTAGCATCATAAGCGCATGCATATATCGTTATATTCATCCCAAATAACAGTCTAGACCTTGTTGAAGATAGCAGTGAACTTCTCCCCTCTGTCCAGATACCCGTCTACCATGGTTGGCCTATACCCTTTTATTGCCCACTCGGCAGCTCTCATCTGATACTGAAATGGGCTCAGCCCAAATAGAGCATA